CCGAAAAGACAGTCAAAAACTAAAAAAGTTAAGCAGTTTTTGAGATATAGTCAATTCCATATTATATGTAAAATTAATTATATTTCAAAAACTGTTCTACTTTTACAACTTTTGAAGACATTTTCGGATTCAGCGAAAAATATTTTATAAGAATTGACTGCTAAATATCCTGGATACAAATTGCTGTTGACGAGAATCATTAGTGGCTGCTTTTTCGCTATGACATTTTTAGAAAGTAAGTAATATAGGTATTTCTTCGTCACAGGACATCTTGCATAATAACAGTGTATTAAATACAGTGCATGATAGAGAACATAAAAAACTAATTATTAAATTTAGAAAATACTTTTAACATACCACCCGAAAAAATATTAGATATATATAAATCATCCTGTTCCGGGCTAAATATTATAAATGCTTCACAAATTATATATATAAATCATCCTGTTCCGGGCTATATATTATAAATGCTTCACAAATAGGTACCACACTTAATGATATTTGTAACAAAATATTTCAAAAGTCAGACAAAGAAATTAGTAGTTACCTTCAGAATCTAGAAAAGGGATGAGGAATTCGAGAAAGAAATATATGAATTCACAAAAACGAAATAAAAAAAATAACCTAAAACAGCAATTTATCTTTAAAAATTATTTAACAATTTATGTTATTTGATGTAAAGTTGTTATGTTTATATAAAAATTGTATGTCCAATAACTATGGTCCATGTGTCCAATTACTATATAAAATGTCCAATTACTATACTTTTATTAAACTATTATTAAAAATTCCTATTTTTAGGTAAACGTAAATAAAAAAATTAAAATCTTTAAAACAACGGCATATATAAATTTTTAATAAATAATTTTTCTTAAGTGTCCACTAACTATGTGGTTTACCCTATATTCCTAAAAACAAAGGAGGGTAAAAATTTTCAAAATTTCTGTAATTTTCAAAAATTTACAATACTTTCAAAATCTCCAAAACTTCGAAAAACAAGAAAAAATGTTGTGAATAAGGGATTTATAAAAGTATTGTGAGACTCTTGCAACGCAACAAAATATAAATAGAACACGTGTATTTTTTGCTGAAACATAATTTATAGGAAGGATAACGTTGTCACAGAGACAGAGATCCTGTTAACGGTGTTAGCTTTGGCAGTGCTCTGAAATTGCTTGTGTTATGCTATTAATATACAATTGCTCCGAACGAAAAAAAAAAAGAATTTTGTTTTGTAACTTTTGCAAGCACAATGTAAAACACGTGTTTAAATGCCGTTCCATTAAATTATGATAAAAATAAATAATATTTAAATTATGTATTTTGATTTTACCCGCATTTTTACGATTTTAATCATATCCTACATATCTAAAACAGGTGAACATACGAAATCAGGATCCAACACAAATTTTTAACCGGAATAACTTTTATAAATTTTGCTGGCCTCATTTCGCGTTAATACGAATACACTTTCAAATAGCTAGCTCATCGCCCGCCCAATAAACAAAATAGGTATACATACATAAAATGAAATTAAATTTTGTAATTAACCGTTTTGTTGTTTATTTTACTCAAAAACACTTCATGCAGCTAATGCTTATTAAATGGAATATTCATCATTATGTAAGTTTTCGCAAACGTATAATACGGCTTTAGCTTTACCAAGAATTTTGGGTGTTTTTTTGAAGTAAAAGAAACAACAATTCGTTTAGTTATAATTATAAATATTTATAATTAAAATATCTATGAGTTATTTTATGTATATGCTTTTAAAAGAGCTTTTATACTAGAAATAAATTATATTTCCAGGTGATAAACAAAGTAATAAAGAAAATATATACCATTATAATTTATTCACATTTATACATTGATTTTTCCATAAAAGAGTTTTATGCTAGTTTTTATACCTATTATATAGTACGTCTCAGATTTTAATCCAAAAATATGAAGCTAAGTTCATATAAACTTGTATGTTTTAAAGCTTTGTTTTTAAGGGTAGTAAAGTTATTAAAAAAATATATATTTTGGGAAAAATTTTAAAATAATATATATAATATATATATTATTTTAAAATTTTTCCCAAAATATATATTTTATATAAAGGGCCTAATAAAATTAAATTAAATTTAATTTGGTTATTCCAGAGACGGCGCTGGGGCACCTGAACTAAATATTTAAAAATAAAGTTTTAGTACGCTTCTGCTGATAAGTTTATTATTTTTTAGATTAGGCAATTAACATTCTCTTAATTAATTTTTAAGAAAAAAATAAAATTCGTTTATTCGCTCGCCCCTGAAAAATATTATGGTGTAACATGGTATAACCAAAATTATTTTTTTCTTGAAGACAGCAATTTAGAGAAAAAATGCAAAAAACAAAAGAGTTTTATTTTTAATTACCTAATCTAAATATCATATTATACTCATAAAAAGCAGTGGCTTTACCATAATGAAGTTTATTAACTTTAACACCCTGTATATCGAAAAAAATTGAGGAAACAAAAATTTATTTATGTTTTCTATAGTTTCCTTTTATCTACTAAAAATCTTTGATAAAATGGTACTTTAACTGCAAGAGTGGATAAAATGATACTTAAGGTAGTTGTCGTGGTGCAATATTGTCAAAAATTTTAGATTATACGCACCATTAAAGTATACGAGCTTGTAGCTAAGTGATTCATAATTTGTTCGCAAGACTGTACCCTGGAGACGTTACCTTTACGTAATACTTTCAAATATTTTCATAAGTTTTAATCCGGCAACGTCGCTTATGCTCAACCATATTGAAGACTGAATAAGTCCGTTTGAATTTACTGCGGAAATAATATCTATACTCGCGTACAGCCTTGCCAAGTTGTTCTTATCTGACACTAGAGATGTATACTTTTTACAAATTGTTGAACTTTAAACGGTTATTTATAAACAATTGGACCGTCAAAAATTTTTAATTATTTTTTTTTTAACTCAGCAAAAATACATTAAAACACTGTTAGTTTTTTTAAAACTTCTGACAGTTAGTTTTTTCTGTATAACTAAGAAACTGGTACAGAACTACAGAAAGCCTATACAATCCATGTTAATTATCCAATTTTTAATTGAATTTATCTCGGGTTATAGACGGTCAATCGACTTCAAATTTTAAGGATATATGTATTGTCATGTCCTTAATAAAATTTAAAATTTTCTGATGGTATGCTTACAGCACGACAACTACCTTAACAGCAAGGATAGATAATATACTAACACATTTAGACATGGACTGAAGTTAGTAGTGGATTTGGTATTTTTAGTCTAAGGCTGAAATTAGCTAAATTATAAAATAGAAAAGAGCGAGGTTAAATCCGGGTGACATTTGTCAGATGTCAAATGTATTACCAATAAAATTGGCTTAAAATTATTATTTGTATGTGTTCAAGGTACTCTCTAAAAATAAATTAGTCAAAAATTCACTAATTTAAGAGTTATAAGTGGCTGCTTGTTCACTTGTACCATGGTTAAGCATGGAATACCATGGTATCCCCAAATTAAACAGCCAATTCTTATGTTAAATTGTCCCCTGAATCCGAAAATACCATACAAAATTATGAAAGTGGATTAGTTTTTGATATATAGTCAATTCCATATTAAATGGAAAATTGACTATATCTCAAAAACTGTTCTACTTTTTAAACTTTTGACGGCATTTTTTGATTCAGGGGACAATTTTAGATAATAATTGGCTGTTAAATTTTGGGATACCATGGTTAACCATGGTAAAAGTGAAAAAGCAGCCACCAATAACTCTTAAATCAGTCATTTTTAGAGAGTATACTTTATAAAGTATCGTACTCTAAAAATGAATTAGTCAAAAATGACTAATTACTACAGGTATTAGTAGCTGCTTTTTCACTTATACCATGGGATAGCATGGTATTCCCGATATAATAGACAATTTTTATGTAAAATTGCCCCGTGAATCCGAAGTTGTTCAAAATTATAAAAGTAGAGCAGTTTTTGGTATATAGTCAATTTCAAACTATATGAAAAATTGACTAAATCTTCAAAACTGTTTTACTTTTATAATTTTTGACGGAGATATCATGCTATACCATGGTATACCATGGTATAAGTGAAAAAGCAGCTACTAATAACTGTAGTAATTAGTAATTTATAAATAATTCATTTTTAAAGAGTACGCAACCCGTTTTATTTACTTTTCCATACACTCGCTCGTGCCTAAACCGCAAATATAAACGTTACTGTCAAAAGCAATTGGTTGTAGTTTAAAAAATAAAACAATTAGTTCAATTGTACTAAAAGATATTGCCACTTATCTTAACTATCTTATATCTTTATATTACAATGAAATTATGGTTTTTAATTTATTTTTGAACTACACATTTTTTGTTTAATGTAATAGTATTTGTTGAATAAACATAATAATGTATAAATCTGCTTTTCAGTCTTGCAGTATCATAATGTTATTATATATGTGGCCAAACGAATTACAGTTGTAAATCGAAATAGCTGACGAAAAATTGTTATGTTTCTTACTAATATATACAAAAACATTGGATTACACACGACGATAATATTTTATTATTATGTTGTTGTTTTTATTTCTTGATCTAAATAATGATCTAAATTTTTACCCAAACCAAACCAAAAAAAAATGGTATTGAAAAATTGTATATAGGATTTTTATGTTTGTGGAGAACAGTTACCTTTTAAACTGAGTTTTTTTACTTTTTGGGTAAGAATATATTAAAAACTTAATAATGGACTAATTTTTATTAAATGGTACAAAATGACAATTTAAAATAACTTAGTTATTTGCATCTTATTACTTATTACGACATATTAACATAGCTAATGTGATTGAATAACTGTTAGGAATAAAATAGTTGATAAAAATGTAAAATCTTTTAAAATGTTTAATTATTTAACTGTATATTAGAACTAGTTTTTAAATTTTATACAGAAACAAACACCTATAAAATTAAATTTGTATTTGGTACTCACCAACTTGAATTCTTTATAATCCTTAACATTCTTTGTAATATCGCTATATCCTCGAAAAAAATCCTATCCACCAAATGAAAACAAACGCACAAAACAACTGACGAACACCAAGTCAAATGACAGTCGGCACTAAAAGCGCGTTTCTTGTTGCTGCGAGTACTACAATCGAAGCCGGCGTTGACCAGCCAACACGATGGATGGTGCTCCTGCGGTACTGCCTGATGGTACGTGCGACCGGTGTTGCCAGTTCATAGGAAAAGTAGCAGTAACCAAACTAGTTTTAAATCGCAGTTTTTTCAATATTTAAACTAAAGATTTTAAAGAGATAAAGTACCACTTTTAGGTGACATTAGTTCGCTCAGTACCGACTAGCATAGGTTAGACCTAGGTTAAAGATGTCTTCGACTATACTTGGTTAAACGTACACAGAAAAAACGCTAGCATAGCATGAACGGGTGAGCCATTAAACCAATGGGATCTTGTAATCCGTATTCCTGAATAACAGTTCCTATAATACCAATAGGTAGTTAGCACTTGGTTTATAATCGTTTACTGTTTTTAAATTAACAACAACAGTTATCGCTCCTAAATCTATTGATATTTATTCCTTTAACATTTAGGCAAAATGTATCCTTATTTTGGTTTAATAGTAATTAATTGAGCAAATAACAATTTAGATTGCTTCAATTTTAATGCATTCAATGACAACGCTGTTCTTGGTAGATGGTTAGATTTTTTAATGTGAAAGTATACCCGTAATTCTTACATTATTTGTAACATATAAACTTCTGGAACATCGACTTGGCAACATTGTAGGCTACAACAAGACGTGTTCAAGCCCATGGATTGTTGACTTCGTTATCGAGGTCATTGGGTCACTCGACCATGATGCGTTCGAACTGCCCACAACAAGATTATTTGGCGATTTCCAGACGGCGCATCGTGCAAACCGATCATAAAAAACCACAAATTGATATCATCAGCATCCGATACTTTCTATTGATATATGTATAAGATATTTAGTTAATTGATTGTAAGTATCCTACCCTTCTACAATACTTAGTAATAAGGAAAAAAAGATCATTTTTAATATAATTTTGAATTGCAAAATGTCAGGTTAAAAACTATTAACTTTTCAGAAGGACAAAAAAACGTTACCGTATACTTTTCTTATAACTATAAGTAAATTTTTTTATACACAGAAAAAACGCTAGCATAGCATGAATGGGTGAGCTATTAAACCAATGGAATATTGTAATCTGTATTCCTGAATAACAGTTCCTATAATACCAATAGGTAGTTAGCACTTGGTTTATAATCGTTTACTGTTTTTAAATTAACAACAAAAGATATCGCTCCTAAATCTATTGATATTTATTTGTTAGAATATTAGATCTAATTCTATAGAATGTTATTGCATTAAATACTAATTTGATTTATTTAATAAGGTTACTATAGTATGTATTAGGGTGAGCCAAAAAAACTAACCTATCGGATTTATTGGTTAAAATGAACCTACATACCGAGCAAAAAATTTCCCTGCAAGGCAAAATTTTTTGCTCAATTTTAAAAGGTGTCGGTGAGCATTCTAAGTTTTCCATTGAAATAACACGTAAAAAAATCTTTTTTCATTAAAAAGACTATAACTTTTGAACCGTTTGAGATAATTTTTTTTACGTCGCGGATTCTTGTAGAGCATAAAATTTCCCAAAGAATCTATACCAGGATTATTTTTTTAATTAAAAAATTCGTATGTTTGAAAACTTTGAAAAGTGTAAAAAATCACTAAAACTGCAGGCTCACCCTAGTATGTATACTATGTATATATTTAACGCAATAAATCCTTTGACATTTAGGCAAGATGTTTCCCTATTTTGGTTTAATAGTAATTAATTGAGCAAATAACAATTTAGATTGCTTCAATTTTAATGCATTCAATGACAGCGCTGTTCTTGGTACTATTTTATGTGTATGTTTCTATATTTCTTCATGGTTGTAGGTACAGTACAATACCGTTTTTGTCCAATTTATTGATACGAGAAATTAATTTCCCTGAAATTTCAAAATCTGTCAACATCCTGGGTCTACAAATTGATTGCAGACTCGATTGTAGGCAACACATTAAAAACTTCCCATCCAATATAAGTAAATATTGATTTGCTTTAAAAATTATGACTAATTTAATTAATGTAAATGCAGCATTAACAGCATTTAACTTATACGCCCAATCAAAAATTAGGTATGATATTATATTTTGGTTCATTTAACAGATATAAATAGAATTTTTGTTTTGAAAAAAATGTTTTAAAAGTATTTTTTAATTAAATCAACCGGAATTTTAACTATTTATTGTATTTTTACATATGAATCAATTTTATTTGTGAAGAGAAATCAAAATATGTTTAAAAAATTTACAGATTACAGCACTCGCTTTAAAAACAATTTAAACTATGATAGATTAAATTATCTTTACTTACAAGAAATTTTTCCATACTCGGTGATAAAAATTTACAATATAATTCCATTAAAAATAAGAAATCTTCCTGAAAAAAACATTAGAAAGGAATATTATGGGTAATAATTGTTACTGTTCAATAGTTTTGAAGGACGCTAATTTTGATTTTCTGTGGCATTTATGTAATTATTTCGTAGAGATATTTTTTATATATTTTTTGTTACCTACATACATTTGTATATTCAATTTAATTTATGCTGTAGGTACATGTAACTTTATATTAGTTTATTTTTTGTTTATTTTTGTGATGTGTTCTACACCCAATGGTGCTTCTAATCGCCGTAATTTTCGGGATGATTATAATTATTCAGTTTTACTGTTGAGCAGTGTATAATATTATTCCCGGACGTACAATATACAAAAGATATATCGACATTTAAAATAAACAACATTAAAAAAATGTATTAAATTAAGATAAATTTATGATTTATGCTTGAACTAATCGCTGCTATATTTTCCTTGAATTTCTATTATAACATAAATAAAACAGTATCCATGGAAAAGCTGGATAAAATCCAAGAGGCAAAACATTTATTTCTGGATTATTAAATCCAGATAACAAACAGTAGTTTGAATTTTTTTGTTTGAACTCATCGGTATGTAAAATTAAAACGACATTTCGAAATCAAACTAAAAAGCAGGAAGCGGAAATAAAGGATATCTCAGAATAAATTTTGCTGCAATCGTGGTTTTAGACTTTTTTTAAGGTATAAAATATACATTTTCCTATATTTAAAAATCTGAAACATAATCTTTCTTATTTTAAAATTGTTTTTTATATTTTATAATATCTTCAACTTCAACGAAAATAACATACAACCTGCAATATGCTATGACAACTAAATTTAAAAAATCCGGTTTAATAATGATATTTACAATGTTTTATTGTTCTATACTAAGTTTTAAAAGTCTTGCACCAATTTGTAATTCCATCTGGAATTGTCAAGTTGAGCTCTAGACATTTTTAGGAGGATTTTCAACACTATTTAATGTTTAGGGATACGTACAAAACTGCATATTTTGTTTAAAATTGCAAAATGGATTTACTTCTTCGGTTTTTACGGTGATTTTTCACAATTTAATATTTATACTACTGGAATTTAATAAATATTGATATTTTTATATTATTCCTGGTGGTGCAAGACTTTTAAAACTAAGTGTATATTAAACATTAATGGTTTCTTTAACAAAAATGTCTGAAAATTGCCACTAGAAAAGAAACCGTAAAGAAACCTATTAAAAACATCAATGTCGTGTTAATTAGGAAATGTTATTAATTATTATAATTATAATTAATTCATCAAAGGAAGCACTTAATAAAGGAAAAAATATAATAAAAATTTATAGTGTACAATATTTGCAACCTAATTAAAATTGAACTTTGTGTATACCTATAGGCACATCAACAAATGTTCTGATTAAAAAACAGCTTTAAGTGCTTTCATTACTCTTATAACACTAGTTTACAACCATTTTGCCCACTATGTCTCACTATGATTTTCTTGTGTAGTTTGGCTCACTAAACGCGAAAATCACACTCAAAATTTTTTTCATGGAAGCGTTTCCCACTTTTAATTAAAAAAATAATTGTAAAAAAACTGTTTTCCGGGATCTGCTCCGTGTTTTCGGTTTTTGGTTCTTAGAAGAACCGTATGTCTGACGATGTCACATACATAATTTAACCCGATAAAACTTTTAAATTCATCAGCTCCATACATGCTGTAATTAAAATAATGTTTTTCCTTATACTTTGGTGATTTTTCTTATTTTATGGATTAAATCATTTATTTACACGACTCATTTTATAAAATTTAATAAATATTATTTAAAAAACGCTTAGAACAAAAAAAATTTATTTGTTTTTATGTATAAAGAAAAGTCTTGCGATAGCTAATAAAAATATTCTGCATTAATTAATTAATTCATTTATTTTATTGAAAAATTGTAAAATATTTGTCGACGGTATATTTACTAATAATAATATTAAAATGGATATCATATTTTAAATTCAAATAAAAACAAAGCATTCAAACCACAGACAAAATAGACTTGCCTTAGGGAGAAAATGATACGGCCGGGCGGGTGCCTGAACGGGTGCCTGTTTTCCAGTTCACATCATTCATATTTGAGCAGTTGACCTGTGAGGATATATTATTTATGTAAAATTCTTTCAACATTATGGGTAAATGTGTTGTCAAAGTGTGTCCTAGTCGTAGTGAAACTAGTTCCAGCCAATTTCAACCAATTTCCTTTTTCCAGTAAGTAGTAATTACGAGATAAATTTTAAGCGATTTTATTAATTTTGCATGTCAATACCTTGCGTGCGCACACAGATGTTGTATTGTTCTCTCCTGTGCACAGAGCCGTACTTCGTTCATTCTGGAGCGTAAAACTAGATGAATTTCTTTGATAATCCACTAGGAATATTTTAAATTAGATACCGCTCGTACGAAATTATTTAATACGGGCCTGGCAGAATACATATCTTCTCTTATATAATATATAATATAATGTATACATTCCCTTGCCCCCCTTCCCCGATTTATGGCACGCTGGTTTCATATTAGCGATACTGAACAGGGCAAGTCTATTTTGTCTGTGATTCAAACCAATTCAGCCGAGCGCGGAGCCTTGCAGTAAAAAATTAATAATGTTTAAAGTAATGCCGGGCAGTGAAATTTTTTTTCAGAATATGAAACCTTAATATCCAATACATGTCATGTAACCATGAAAAAAAAACTTGATTATTTGATAGAGACTTTATCAAAAATTTGAATTGTATATTTCAATGATCAAAAAAATCCATGGATAACTGGCGAAGTTATAAATTTTTCAGTGGAAGATTAAAATTCAGTTTTTCGAGAATTTTTAAGTTTTTTCTTAATTTTATTGAATTTTATAAAATTTAATATTAAACTCTGATTTTTATTTTACACATTAAATATTGAAATTAAATTATATATTGAATATTGAACATTCACCCATCATGGCTGCATCCCAGAAGCCGTTCCATAACCTTCATTTTCTGGTGAAAACGTTCTCCGTGCTCATCACTTACGTTGCCCAGATTGTCCGGGTTATTTACGCACTTGAACTCTCTCCTTTTACTCATTATACACTTTTTATTAACTAAATAAAACCATAATAAAAATACCTCGTTAAAATATCAAAAAATAGCAGGAAAATGTCACTATGCCAACACGAGAAATAAAAGAATTCACGTTTGCGGAGTCAAGTCAAATTTAAATTTTGAATAAGGTTTTCGGTGAATAAAGTACGTAAAAAACTCAAAAAATTCCAATCATGCACTTTAATTAGGTTTTCATTAAAGAATAAACATATTACAAAATAAAAGAAAGAAAATTAAATCAAAATCGTCAAAAAGCTGAATTTTGGTCTTTCTCTAAAAAATTCATATTCTAAATTTTTTCATGTATTTTTATCAACATTAACTTGTTTTTCGATTTTTTAAACTAGTGTAATTTATGTAAATACACTTAAATGTTTAACCTAATAACAATTATAGAGGTCAACAAATATTTAACGATATAAATATTAATATTAAAACAATGCAAATTTCTTTTTATAAACATTTAAATTTGTAAATTCAATATAAATATTAAGTATGTTCAAGCCCCGTTATTCGAACCAAAAACTTTGAAATATTAGCAATATTACATATATCTGTTTTACCTGTTATTTTACTTTCTCGATTGGGCCACATCGGTCGTTAACATCCCAAACTGTTTTTCTTAAGATTAACTTTACTAATTAATCTATAAATTTTATATTCACATTTTTGTATTGGAATTGGAATTTATTAATTTATATTTTCATACATTTATGTTTGTTTTTTTAATAACTCAAGGCAATTAAAAAAAAATATGTAGTAAAAAAAATTATATGAATTTAATTAAAATGACTTTACAAAAACTTTTATTTGAGTTTCAAACTAGGAACAATAATTACAATTTTCTTATACACTCACAGGCAAAATAATCGATCCACACAAATTTTCGATGAATTTCAATCGCAAATAACTTTTTTATTTGATTTCGGATTTAAACGAATATTAAAGAATATTGTAGATAAATTAATGTAGAATCGCTCACATTTTATAAAATTACTTTTGAAATCCGTATTTGACAAGTATTGGATGATTAAACAAAACTGTCACTGTCATCCTCTATATATATAGGTTGCTATAGCAACCTTAGTTCTTCGTTCAGTAAAAATATTGGAAATTGCAATGTTTTTTTTTTTAAATCCATATTTTCCACAAAAATAAATATTTTGAGGTAAACCAAAAAAAAAACTGTTAAGAATAGATATGACTAATAATTAAAACTTAATTTAGAACAATAGACTGTTTGACTTTTGGTAAAAATACATCTTTTTGTTTAATCCTGTATATTATAAACGTTCGACTATTTTTTAGTAAATTTTTAAAATGTGAGAGATTCTCCATTAATTTATACACAATATTTTTTATTATTCGTTTAAATCCGACATCAAATAAAAAAGTTATTTGCGATTGAAATTCAACGAAAATTTGTGTGGATCGATTATTTTGCCTGTGAGTTTATTTAGCACAAATATCGATATCAAAAATTGAACTTACCCAGTGTGACAAAACAGAGAAACTGCAAAGGGTAAAATAAAACACATTATTACAAAAAAATATTTACTACATACACATACATACACCTTATAAAAAACCTTAAATATCTTACTTGTTTTAAAACATGTATAAAATCCCTTGTATAATAAAATTTGCAGAAAACAACTTGCAATCTATCGCAATACCAAAGTGGACTCTTCAATGATATTACGTAGATTTATAACCAAATATAATATACAGTAGACTGGGCCAAAACTATTTTTTTTTTTTGGAAAGTATATCGAAAATATTGTTTGGGGTGACAAAAAAAATTATGGTGAAAGTTTGAGTCCATAATATTAATATTAACAGGTCTATCATCGCAATTTTAGATTTTTTTTTTCCTGAGCGAGTTTTTGTCTCAGAACTCCCAAACCAGTGAGTTTAACAAAATTGACTTTAGAAGAAAATTGAATACTCTACAAAAAAAGTTTAATTGGAATTTCCCGTCAGATGAACCGTTTTCTTACAATCATGCCTTAAAAATTGGTATAGTTTTACAATTTGATCTTTGAACTTTGGAATTTTGTAATTCAGTACCCGAAAAAGAAACCGATAAATATTCTTATGGGAAATCAAATGCTCTACAATAAAAGTCTTTTACCATTTTTGGCTAAATTCCCTCCATCAAAAGTTATTCAAGGTTAAATTTGAAGTCAAAACGAAGTTTTAACCTTGAATAACTTTTGATTGAATTAATTTAGCCAAAAATGTTGGGAGGCTTTTTTTAAGGCATTTGATTTCCCATAAGAAAATTTTTCCAATTTTTAAGGCATGATTTTAAGGAAACGGTTCATCTGACGGAAAATTTCACTTTAACCTTTTTTGTAGAGCATTTAATTTTCTTAAAAAAATATTTTTGAGTCAATTTTGTTAAACTCAATGGTTTGGGAGTTCTGAGACAAAAACTTGCTGAAGAAAAAAAAATTAAAATTGCGATGATAGACCTCGTAATATTAATATTATGGACTCAAACTTTCACAATAATTTTTTTTTTATCACCCCAAACCATATTTTCGATATACTTTTAAAAAAAAAATTCATTTTTTGGCCCATTCTAATATACAGTGTGTTTCATTACCCTGATAAAATTAACATTTCGTGAACATCGATACTTCAGTACTAGCAGTTGTTTGCGGGTAATCAGTGGTCACTGTGACCAGATCAGGTTTTGTTCTTCTCGACAAATTATTGTGCTTTGTAACCGTGAGCATCTGCGATTCAGTCCTCCCATCGACTGTGGATTTAATGCACAGAATATCCTTAAACTCCTTCCAGAAGTTTTCGTTCAAACACCCGTATAAAATAGGGTTAGAACAAGCACTCGACATTCCCATCATGTGACAAATAGCGTAACAAACGATCATGGAATGCGAGGAAAACTCAGGGGTCGACGATAAATCAGCTATCAAATTAAACATGTTTAATGGTATCCAACTGATGCAGAATATAACCGCTATCGATCCTAGAAGAATGTTGGTCCGTTGTAACTTCCGGCCGCGTAGCTGTCGACGATTTTTGCTCGAACTGTCGTCAGTACTGACAAATCCCGCAGCGAATCTGTAGCGCAATTTATAGGAAATACGGACGTAAGCCACCTGCAACAATTTTCATTTTAATGTTTTATTAAAAAGTGAAGCCCGATTGTATTCGGGTATTTCTATCTCAAATTGACCAAACAAAAAAAAATTGTAGGTAAATTTTTACTACTTGGGTGAATCTCACGAAATGCCCCCCGATGGTGTTACCCCGTGATATTTAATAAAACTAAATGAGTTTGACCTACACTTTTATTGTGTTTTGATTTTTCATAATTAAGTAGATATTACAGCTCAGGTTCCAGATTTTTAACCGCAATTAATTATTTTTTACAATGTTTTAAAAGTCTAAAACCTATCCTCCGTGACTGTTACTCTTTCTATATGTTTTCAAATATCTGAGGTAGTAAAAGCATACTAAAAATATCAGTCCACTAAGTAAATTAAACACATCCAAAGCAATCGAATCAAATATAAAATATAATTAAAAATTAAAAGATGTATGTAGGTGAAAATTGATTCTATCCTCCGTGAATCTGTTTTGCTTTACATTTTATGCAACGGATGACGCTTTAATAATTTTAAATAAGCAAAAACCTCTGTTTACGACATTATAGATGCATGTGATTCCTGAAGGTCAGTTAGAATTTATATGCAGATGAGAGTTTTGCTGTTTTATAATTCAAAAGTTTAAGTTCATTAATTTGCTGTTTAAAAACCTATCCACCGTCAAGTGTAATGTCTCAGTAAGTAGATTTTTTTTATAAATATTTTATGTATGTACAATTGTATTTTTAAAAAATATTAAGGTGTCAAAAGATACAATAACTTATTTCAAATAAACAAAGGGAAGTTTTTAAAAAACAAACAAAATCCTAACCTCAGTAAAGCTATCTTCCGTGAAGCTCTAATATTCAAAATGTATGATTTCTTAAAATTCTTGCATTAGTGCAGAACCACTTATGTTATGTTATTACTAGACCTAGTGGCTTCCCAAAAACCCCATTCTAGTCTAACAGTGAAACAACCAAAAATAAAAAAATAATCATTTTAACGTGGGGGACATCTCAATATATTCACCCATATATGAACAACTTTCACCAGAAGTCCTGAGTTGGCTAAATTCGTCGTTTCGGAATTATTCTCTTTTTTATGAAAATGCAATTTTATATTAAATTTTCGGTAAAAAGTTTTTAATTTAACACCTACTTTGATCTCAATAAAATAATACGAGTGGTTGATTTTAAAGAACATTTTTAAACAACAAATTGTACAGACTAATTAATTTATGATTGAGTAGATACAAAATTCGGTTATTAATTTTTTTCGGTCGTTTGGTATCAAGTTTTTTTTTTAAGAGAGATTGTTTTACAGCCCATTATTAATTTCAAACCTAATTAAAAACTGTGACAAATTTTTTGTAAAGCATTTTTTAACATCATAATTTATTTTAAGTTTATTCAAAAAGGCACAAAAGAGGCAATTTAAAGTAGTGATGAATTATTGTGCTGTTTTAAAGCCAAAATGTTTATTCGATGCTATTTTTATTTTATAATAATAATGTATATTGTCTTAACTTAATGTACTTTTTTTATTAATTTGTAGAGTGATATTTGTGAAACAACATTTCAAAATTATATGGTAAACAACAGCATTACACTGAAATACAAAACGACTTCATCCATTTTGGCAAATAAAATATCTTATTTCAAATTCAAATCTAAAAGCAATTATCGCCCTGTAAAGAGTAGATTTTATGTCTTCAGGCCACATGATCTTTTACGTGCTTGCTTTAATGGGTAGTTTTTAGCCAAACCCTATTTTATTTTTACTATTTGTTAGGTTTCAAATTTCATACTTTAACAAAATTGACCTAAAATATTTTGTTTCCTATAAAACTCGTTTCTATGAAGGTTGCTATTTTATCAAATTTTCCAATGAGGGTTGATGAAAAAATCCTATTTTTGTACTATACTTAGAGTGTTGAAAAAAGGTATTCATCAATTTTTTCGTGTGCGGTCACTTTTTATTGGTGCGTCAGCCTCTTTTAAATTTTAATATTAAAAACCACGTTAAAGACCATAAAATGTACAATATTTTCTTTCTGGTATATCTAGTCCGACTTAATTTTAAATAAACAAAAAATAGGTAAATGTTAACGTATTCAAAATAATTCAAATTTAAAAATATTTTTTGGATAGTCTCTATAGTATACTACTTCACTAAAAAGTGTCATTTTTTTTTAAATTAATGGGATTTTTTTCAAAAAATATGTTTAAATTTAATCTCTAAGTTTGTAATTGTTTATTTAAAATTGTGTAGTATACAGGATGCGCCAAGTATACTTAGAAGGATATATCCTTCTAATTTATATGTATTATATTTCTGTGGATATTTTTTTATTTAAAGAGCTACAAGGTCGGTTTAATTAAAGAAAAGTTGCGTAATTACAAGTCTTTTAACAAGAAATCGTTTTAATTTTTTTATTAAATTTTAAAACAAAATAAGTTTTACATGTATCACCATCTTTTGTTTTTTTTAATGGCCGCCATAACTTATGTAGTTTGATAAATCGTTGGATTCCTTGATTTTTTTCTACATAACCATGTTAAATTTTAATATAATATATCAAAATCCAGTAGGCGAATACAATTACAAATTTGATGAAAATGTAGGTAGATAAATTTTTACATGTAAAACTTACTTTTTTTATTCCCAGATATAAGGAATTTATAATGGTTTTTATTTTTGACAGGTTTGCAGTTTTCTTTTAATTACACTGTTAAAAAAATTTAACTTGATTTTCTAAAATTTTAACATATTTTTCTATAAAAAGAACAGGGTTTGTAACTATTTTAATAAAGAAAAATATTTTACCGAAATTGCAAATTATTTTGTAAGCATTTTTATAATTTGAAAGGTTACAGATTATTTTATTAATGTTTAACAAATTATCAGGCAATTAATAAAACATTTTTCACTGACAATACAATCAACAAGTTCAACTGTCTACAGCGTCTGCAACTTATGTTTCAGCTTACTTTATTTTATTCGTAGTGTTTATAATATATTCTCTCTAAAAATGAATTAGTCAAAAATGACTAATTTAATAGTTATTAGTGCCTGCTTTTTCACTTGTACCATGGTTACCCAAGCAATACCATGGTATACCAAAATTTAACAGCCAATTCTGTATTCGCATTAATCCAGGAAACATATTTATGGTTAGCGGGTAAACCCTTTTTTTAGCCCATGTCATATGCTAACAAAAGCGTATACCCGCTAAACATAAATATATTTCCTGAATTAATGCGAACACGTTAAAGACTATTGAAAAATTGCTTTTTTTAACTTATCCCCTTATGCCTTTTACTCACAAAATTATTATGTAAAATTGTCCCCTGAATCCGAAAATACCGTCATTAAAATTATTAAATTATAAAAGTGAAGCAGTTTTTGAGCTATAGTCAATTCCATATTTAATGAAAAATTGACTATATCTTAAAAACTGTTTTACTATTTTAACTTTTGACGACATTTTCAGATTCAGACAATTTTACATAAGAATTAGCTGTTACATTTTGGGATACCATGGTATCCCATGGTTAACCATGGTACAAGTAAAAAAGCAGCCACTAATAACTTTTTAATTAGTCATTTTTGACTAATTTGTTATTTGGATTCCTTATACATATTTAACGAGTGTGCAACTTCGTATCCTGGTTTTTAAACTGTAATTAAGGGATACAGCGAATTGGGTTAAAGTTAAGAAATACATCAGAAATACAAGTGTTGTAGTAGTACTGATAATTATATTTTACCAAATGTTTAAGAGTATTTTTTTGTTTATTTATGTAGGTATGTGTTCATTTTTTTAAGAAAATTGATATATATATATATATATAAAAATAAAGCAACATTACTGGGTCTACCAAAAGGTTTGTAAAAATAAGGTCATTTCTGGAAATTACAAGAATTATGGTTAAATTATTGATGTAGGATTTTTTTTATTAAATTCAATTCAATTCAATTCAATCCTTTATTTTTCTATTTTAAACAAATGTTTTTACTATGTATTTGAATTTTTATTAATTATTAAATGCCAATTTATTAGACTTGTAATTACGCTACTTGTATATCCAAATCAAAACCTTTTAACTAAACTATTTAGAATGTTTTACTTGACACGTAAAATTATAAAGGTAATCTTACTCACCGATACGATGACAATGGGCAAAGTGTACTGAAAAATCAGCGAAAAAATGGAATAGTAGGCCCTTCCATGCTCCAGCGGCCAATTCTCGTAGCAAAAATTCAAGCTCAGCGTATCCGAGCCGATTTTCAGAACGTGGTGGTTCAGGTGGCGGACTATGAACAGCGGCAGAGCGAGGATTAACGCTACCGACCATATAAAGAATAATATTAGCAGAGCGCCGTATAGTTGCAGGCTCTCCTTTGTCGGATAAACTATGACCTGCAAAGAGAGAGGGAACGTGGTAAAATATAATGCCTTTAATGCCTTATATCACAATTAAGGCATACAGGGTGAGTCATTTAACTCGAAACTTTGAAATATCTCAGTTAGTATGCATTTTACGAAAAAAAAAATTAAAATAAAAATAAAAATTAAATGATTTGAGGGGGGAAATCAATTAGTACTAAAATTGGTCCTCATACTCTCCTTCTTATAGGGGGAACAGGGGGTAAATTTCCAATGGAACACCCTATTTTTTATTGCAGATTCGGATCATTCGACTAAAAATAGGTAGATTTTGTCTTTAACATTTGTTCATATTTGTAATAGATGGCGCTGTAATGAAAAAAATCAATTTAGTTTGATTTTTCTCCTTATACGATTCTGCAATAATTTTTCTATAAAAATATCACTTTTTTGGTAAAAATTACACTATGTAAGCAAATTTGATTTTTGTTTTGTTTATTGGATTTTTTTGTTAAATTATCAATATTTGTGTACCTACCAAAAAACTATTCTAAATTAATTTAAAAAATATAGTGATAAGTTTTAATTTTTTTAAGGGGTATTTATATAATATAATCAAACCCAGTTTTATCAAAAACAAAAAAAATATTGACAAGAAATGGTAAGAAATTCAACTCAGAATTAATATTTTAACAAAACATACAATCTAGAAAAATATTTTCTTAACAAAGATTTTAAATCTTGGATCAAAAATGAATTTTAATACAACTTTTTCTTTTATATGAAGCATTTTCTTCCCGAAGTAGATTCCAAACATAGTCACCCATCATTGTCGCATCCCACCTTCCTTGTTATCACTTTTCCATTGCCCGAATATCTTGATGGAATCTTTCTCCATGTTCTTCGCTGACATCTCCCAGATTTTCACGGAAAAAGTCAAGATGCGAATGCAAATAGTGTATACACTATAGGTACTTTCAACGACATGCGGCATCCCATTTCTTTTAAACTTCCTAATAAAACTTTGACAAGGTCAGTACTTATAATTTTCTCTTTTGTGGTTACCAAGGAAACCTTTCATTTAAAATCTCACGTTAACTTTTGAGTTTAAAAAATATGTATTATAATCCAATTTTTGTTAAAAAAAATATTATTTTTTTTTACATATTGTCCACAAAGAAAGTTTAATGGCCAAAATCTTACGTGAGGAATAGTGGGGGGTCTACCACATCTCACCAAGGGGGAGGGAGGGGTCTAAATTATCAGAAAAATGCCTCACGTAATTAATGGATGTCCCCTAATGACACTCAAAGCCATCAACACGATCTGACGGCTGTCGTTGAAAATTTGACAGTTTGAAAAAACAAATGTATGTTACGTAATCGGGGGCATGGCCTACTACGATTTGTGTAATAAAATCCAGATAAACAAATATCATGTTACATAGTGTTATCTTATTAAATTAAATCTGATATTTTTAAGTACCCACGAATTTTTCACTAATATTTAAGTTTCCTTTGGTTTAAGTTTTATACATTATTTCATTCGGTGATAATTATCAATTGCGCACCATGGTCACTTTTTACCTGCCAGCATTAAATCCTTGAATTTAAAGGATTATTGTACTATTTTTAATAAAAATACCCCATTTAAGGTAAAAAAAAACATTATTTTGTCAATTAATTAATTTAATCCTATTGAGGTATGAAAAATAGTATTTAGTTATAAATAGTAATTATTATTGAGGTATAAAGAAACTATTTATACATAGTTTAGCATTATTTAGTTCGAAGATTAATTTGCAAACAAAAATACCTCCTTTCGTTAAGCAGTTATTCATAGTGGATTTTTTAACAGTGGAAGAAAAATTAGAAATGATTTTGATTTATGGAGAAGCAGGCAGGAATCTTGATGATGCTGTTAATATCTACGCTCAGCGTTTTCCGGAAAAAATTCGATCACCTACTTCATTTCACCGTCCAGTCAAGCAGTTTACTACAAACGGTAGTGTTCAACATAAAAAAAGGATTCGTCGAGCAACAGTCACGGGTGGAAATAATATAATTAATGTATTAGCAGCAACGGCCAAGGAGAAGAGTATGAGGACCAATTTTAGTACTGATTGATTTCCCCCCTCGAATCATTTAATTTTTATTTCAAACATTTTTTCGTAAAAGCATACTAACTGATATATTTCAAAGTTTCAAGTTGACTCACCCTGTTAAAATTTTATGGTTTTATAAAGTTAAATTTATTCATAGTGTAAAAATATAATGACTCAACGGTATCAAAATAAATTGCATTGAAAAAGATTTTAAAAAAGTAAATCCAATAATAATATAATGTTAACATCGGCAACTAACATCCTTAAAACTTTTAAAAAGCAATTAAATTTCAAACTTTCCGATATTGCGCATCTATCGTATCGAACAAAGCACTTCCAAGTAAACATATAGAACCTCTATGGAGTTTGCAAGGAAGTTTAAATTAAAAAAACAAGACCAAAAGGAAGCCATTTTCCAAAGGAAGTTTGCAACCAAGGGAGCCTTTACGTGTAATTTGCCCTGAAAGCGTTTCCTTACAAGCTCCATTCAGGACAATCGAATCGACATTAATGTTCTGTCGCTACATGTATGGTAGTTGAAATATTGTCGAGAGGGATTTTTAGATTTTATTTGACTTTCATAAAGTTGCACAAGAACCGAATATGTAAAAATGTATTGGTATTATTACACACTGTTATAAAAATTAGATTTGTTTACATGAGTTTGTAGTTTGTTAATTTTATTTTGTTTTTAATTATTTTAACAAAGGAAAATATTTTACCGAAAGTTTTTTAAAGGTAATAGGCAATTACCTTTAAATACATCAGTAAGTGTGTATATGTTCTTTGTATAGTATCCTAGTATTGTTGTGTAATTTAGTCCCCTTTTTATGTTAATTCAAGTGCTAAAATTGATAAAGTTCAAAAAAAAAATTGCGATATTGTGGATTCAAATTAAACATTGAATATAAATATAGTTTGGATTTAGTTAGAAAAGCAATAGATTTGTTAAGTAATAGAAGGACAGAGTTTAGTCTTATTTTTCTATATAAATTATTAAATAACTTAATTAATTGTCCAGAGTTGTTACAACAAATAAGTTTTAACGTACCAATGAGACGAACAAGACATCCTGAATTATTTTATATAAAAAGGCATAGAACCCAATATGCTAAATTCATGCCAATAAACAGAATGTGTTCTAATGCAAACTAGTTTGATTTGGATTTTTTCAATTTCTCATTGGCAGTATTTAAGAGATGTTGTAAAGATAAGGTAAATTATTAAATTTGTAATTTGTAAAGTGGATTTTCCATTAATAAAGTTATTATTATTATTATTTTTATTATTATAATTATATTGTACCAAATTTCTTTATAATTTGATATTTTTAGAATGGTGTGTTATTTAATTGTTTGTATGTTATTTGTGTGTTCACTTATTATCATTTGTTTAATAAATTGATTAGTACAGCAACATTTCTTAATAAAATTCTTTTTATTTAACTTCCCAATTTCCAACAAATACTTCTGTTACTGAGTATACAAAAAGGTTTGTAAAAATCCTTTTTGAAAATTACAAGAATTATGGTTGAACTCTTGACATAGCATTTTGTTATTAAATCTACAAAATGTCTTATAATTACAAACTACTTATTCAATTAGTTAACAGATTACAGATGGTTGTTAACTTAACATAAAATTATGTAGACCTGGATTAACACAAAATATCGTTTAAATTTTGTTAAAATTAACAAATATTTTTTACTGCGCAATTAAATTTGACAGAATCTAAAAGTATATGGGTATTTTTCAAAAAGTTGGCCAAAACAGGAATTTTATTTAAAAAAATATAATTATTATAAATTAGATATATTACATAATATTTCTATAGAATATTAATCAAATATTGAATATTTTATGCTTGTCATACATGATACAAACTAGATTGTATTTTTTACAAATTTTCATTGTAGGAAGAATAAATGTTGTCTTTTCCGTGACGCCAAAATAAAGGGCATTACAAATATTAATTTAATTTTTTTATTATACTTTTACATTTAAAATATCAGTCTCTTCTTCTCTTTTAAGATTAATTTGAAAACTTCCTTTAACGATTTCATTTTCATTTTGTGTGTTTAAAATTTTCTATAAATATAGTTTTTGGGTGATAAAACCAAAATTTTCATGTTTGACGCAAGCATATATTTCGCGATCTTTATCTTAAGGATAAACTACTCAGAATGGTTTACATCTAAAGAAATAGGTGAAATAAACTGATACTCTAGCAAGTATCACAGAAAAGACTATTAATAAGTGTACGCACTCATATATTAATTAAATATTTCTTATTGTTTAACTTTGACAGGTACTACAAACTACAATAAATATTTTACCTTGTTGAGAAAGCGTTGCCGTTGTGAATATTATATATTGTGTGAAAATGGCGTCACGGATTGGACATTTTAAATTAAGGGACATCAACTAAAATGCTTGTCACAAAAATGCTTTTTTCTAAGACCACTATGTAAAAGTCACATTTCGTAATGGCATCGTTGCTTAGAAAATGAATGTTTTCATTGGCAAGGCAAAACACGAATGTAAAGTGACATTTCTGTGTGACAAGTGACAGGTCTGTGTGAAAAGAAATTGACAGCATCGTTTGACATTCGTTTCAAAATTTGTATTGTATTTGGATATGTATGTCCAAATATCATTTAGAACACAATTAATTGTGTTTGTATGATGAATTCCAATTTTAGGGTCTATTTAAATTGAGAAAGTAAGTTTATTAATTTTAAGTAACTTATAACTTGAAAATTAAAATAATGAAGATGAAAGTAATTTTAACAGCTGTCAAACACGTTTTTAGGTTATATTGTTTTGTATTTGAATCACATACTTCCATGTGTGGAAGTATGTGATTTGAATATACAAAAAAATAAAAGGGTCGTAGAAAAAACATTGTGGCCTCGTGAGCAACTTAAACACTCGCATGAAAAAGTCGCTTTTCAACACAAAGTCTTGTAAAACAAATTACTATAGGTTCTTTTTTAAAACAAAAATTAGTTAATAACTGTATACATATATGTATAATATTATACTTATGACTGCAAAAACAATATTTTTCCAGCAGTCAGTAAAGTCACGGATTGGACATTTACTATATTTCAAGGTAATTTTAATACATTTTCAATACGATTTTGTACATAATTTAAAGAAGCTGAGAATTGTTTTATCAGATCTATTGTTCACATATTATTTTAGTTACGAAAATATTAAGTTCTAACCTCAGGACAGCAAGTGGCCAACTTTTTGAAATATCCCTCACGGTTAATTTTATAGACGATTTCAGAAAAAAAATATATAATCATCGAAACTATTGTTTTCGGGTTTATCCGACTTCCAAGTAACAGGAAACATGAGAAATAAAATCATTTATGTATGGCATTCTATATAGTGGCCCAAAAATATGTCAAATTTTTTAAATTTTTTGTAAAAACTAAAAATTTTAAATTAAAAAAAAAACTTTCTTTAAGGATAATAAAGCGTTTAATTTTAAGTAAAAAACGTCTTATAAAGTCTTCTGTAGACGCTATAGTTTTGTTATAAAAAATTTCTGAGTTTTTTTACTTCACAAAATAACAAATATTAATCAAATTCAATTAACTTAATAGGTTTTAATGTCTAAATAAATACATGTAATTATATGTGCTGGCTATTATAATAACAAATACCCCGGCTGGTAAATCTCGCCTAGAAGGCCGTAAATGACAGTGTCGATGGTTAAGGCCTCTTAAAGAATTTTCTCGCCTAGTCCGCTAGTGGAGTGCGGAAAAGGAGGGAAAATATTTTGGTTTTTGAGGGACATTGAACTGACCCAAAACCAAGTACAATCCAGGTAATACTGAGACCATCCATCCTGGATTAAAGCAATGGCTCTGGAAACATCAGTCGGAGACATATCCATTTTTAAAAGTAAGAAAACACCTCAAAAGTAACACATTAATTTACAAAAAAATGTCCAAGTATGAAATGATTCAACAAAAAAATCACTGTCATCCTCCATAGGCTATGGGTGGACCATAGCAACCTTAGTTCTTCGTACAAAAAAAATATTGGAAAATGCAATGTTTTTTTTTAAATCTACATTTTCCACAAAAAAAAATATATAGAATAGACGTGACTTGATAATTAAAACTTAATTTAGAACAATATACGGTTTTGCCACTCTTTGTTTTTTAAAATGTAAGCGATTGTCCATTAATTTGAGTATGAGTATGAGTATGGGAACGTATGGCAAGCCCCAGATATATTGTCATCCACTGATCTCCCGGGGTTATATTACCCCCTTTCCGTTCTCCTGCGTATCCCGCCAAATCACAGCATTACCTGTGTTTGTTGGATCCGAAGTTTTTACGCCGGCTGGTAGATCCACCCTAGGAGTTCGTGGATGACAGTGTCAAAGGTTAAGGCAGCTCCTGGGATTTTTGTCAGCCGGGTCGGGCCATACGTCCAGTTTAGGAAGGGTTTTTGGAGGACATTGAACTGACCCAAAACTAAGTACAATCCGGAATCCTCCTCAACCTAGGCCTTAGTAGTATCCCCATTCAATTGGTATTCGTGAATGGGGGTGGGTATGTTAGTTTTTTGCTTACTCCGGCTACCAACCTTGTATATTCTTTATTTATTTTATTGCTATATTAGTGTTCATACCGTTTTCATTTATTTATATCTTTGCCATCTTACTTATTTTTTTTCAAATTAATTTAAAAATAAAAATATTAATATACAAAATAGATAAAGCCGGCCCTGTGGTGTATCGCATCAATATTTGAAACCCGGCCCCTATGTCAGGCGTGCAACGCATGCCTCAATAGATGGCCTACCACTTCATTTTCACGTGGGGGCTTTGCCCATTTACTTTCGCCATCCTCCAAGCTTTGCTTGCGTGAGCTTATGTGTATATTATATAATATATATAATACAATAATATAATATTGCGACGCACCCACTTGATTTCCCTTCACACACGCACGCTGCCCTCTGCAATGATCAATTGTTGCCTGGTTTCCTGTTAAATTAGTATCTATGTATATAAATTCAATATAAATATCAATTAGTCAATACCAATACTAATACAAAATAATACAAATAATCAATACCAATATCAACCAATCAATCAATTAATCAATATTAACGTTAATATCAGTATCAACCAACTAATCAATCAATATTAATACTAATATCAATATCTATAATGCCAATATCAACATCAACATTAATACCAACAATATTACCATCAATACCAATACCAATACGATTATATCAATATCAATCAATCAATTAATTTATTAATTAATTAATTAATCACTTTATGTAAATACCAATCTTCAAAATAGAGCCGGCCCTGTAGTGTATATAGTGGAATGCGGCCTTATGGCCTGCTTGGCTCTTGAGTTCTGTGTATTAGTTTGGCTTTGATTTATGGGTGTTACCCTAAATTTATTTATGATAAATTTTTGTCTTCTTGCTTGAATTGGTTTATTTACTTACGCCTTTTACACTGGTTGTTTACGTTTGTCTACTATGAGAAAATTAGGTTGTTTATTTAACAGTTACGGAAATGTTCTTATTATTTTTTAAAATTTAATTTTTAAGACGAATAGAATTCTTAGATTTTTTTGCAACATTGTGAAATGCTTATATAAACATTTAACGATTATACGGTAAGACATGCAATTAGAAGAATTACTTAGCTTGATTATTAGGCTATAAACCTGATGCTTTGTCTTTCGCGGGGTGGCCTTCTCCTGCAGGTTTTTGCATAGAAAAAGGATATTTTTGGAACGCTCCGATCCAGGTGCGCCGGTTGACTTATCGTTGCTGCCTAGCCTCAATTAGGTACTTATTCACTTGCACACTTTTACGGCGTTATCTCACAATTTTCGCACTTCTTGCACTTGTTTGTTTATTTATGTTTTTATTTATTATTTATTAACGATTACCGATATTTCCGGATACTTTGTTTCGATTTTGGTACTTTACGTTTGTATCGTATACGCCACTTAGGAGGGATCTTGACGCATCCGACCTCTTCGAGTGTCAAGACGGTGAAAGCGATTGTCCATTAATTTATCTACAATATTGTTTAATATTCGTTTAAATCCGAAATCAAATAAAAAAGTTATTTGCGATTGAAATTCATCGAAAATTTGCGTGGATCGATTATTTTGCCTGTGAGTGTAAGTAAGATTTTTTTTAGAACAAAACTATAGGATCTACAAAAAAACTTTTTGAGACGCTTTTAACTTAAAATTAAACGCTCTATTATCCTCGAGATTATCCTTAAAAAAAGTTTTTTTAATTTAATATTTTTAGTGTTACTAACTTTTGACATATTTTTGGGCCACTATCTAAAATGCCCTACATGAAGGATTTTAATTTTCATGTTTCCTGTTACTTGGGAGTCGGACAAACCCAAAAACACAATTTTCGATGATTATATATTTTTTTTCTGAAATCGTCTATAAAATTAACCGTGCCCTATATAATAATTAGCTTTAAATAAAAAAAACTTTTTTCTGTTAAATTAATTCATTAATTCATTTAGAGAAAAAAATTAAGGAGTCGTATACAATCACCTAAAAACATCTGTTTGTAGTTTGTTACTTTTATATTTTATCTTTTAACATGATTTTTTGTATTTTTTGTATTTTTTACGAAAAGTATTGTAATAAATATAATTTTTTATCAAAATTATTGTTTTTTTAGTTTCCTAATTTTCAACAAATACTTTTGTTACCATTGGCGTAACTACAGGGGGGCCTAGGGGGGCCAGGCACCCCCCAGACATCCCTGCCCCCCTAGAAAAAGGCTGACTTTTATCTGTTATAATTTTTTGGTATTACCAAATTTGCAATAGAAATATGTATCTATCATTTACATATCTTATAGAAATTTCATCAGGATCATCAAATTCGAATCATTCAGAACCATTGGCGCAAGCAGCAGATGCATTATTTCAGTTAGATTTTAATAAAAGCCGAGATTTTATTAAAAATTATTCCTCTATTGCCGGTGTTAATGTGAGTATGCTTGAAACCGAGATATTGGTGGTAAAATATATGCTTACTCTAAAAAATCTGGAAACTAATTTAGAACCAAAAAAAAGGCATATTAAAAAAGACTTTTGTCCAAACCTCTACAAATATGAACAGAAGCATTGTTTATTTATCCTAAATATATTTTTATGCCTGACACATAAAGTTTTACTAAAGTAAATTTATCGTTATTATTTCGACTATTTAGAGGTTATAAACAATATATTCACTATTAATAAAAAGTATTAGCTACACAGTTTATTTGTCCCATTTTTTTTCAGTGTATGTTAAAAATTACCTTGTTATTTTATTATACATATTAGAACTGTTTGATCAAAAAAAGTTGGTATTTGTGCCTTTTGAAGACAACATTTGTTTTACTTTTTTTTAAATTCCTAGTCACTAAAACAGGCCCACCCTAGCCCCCCCCCCCGGGTCAGATGACTAGTTACGCCAATGTTTGTTACTGGGTCTGTAAAAACCATTGTAAGAATAACAAAAATTATTGTTCAATTATAATTATTGACATAGAATTTTGTTATTAAATCTAGAAAATGTCTGTAATAATTACAAACTACCTATTTTACAGTTTTGTTGTAAACGTAACACAAAGTTATGTAGACCTGGATTACCATAAAATCTGGTTATTATTTTGTTAAAATCAACCAATTTTTACTGTGTACCTGATACCTGTCCAACGCAATGGCCGTGATGGAAATGGTGGAGACGTAAGTGCTGGTGGCTTGCAGGATACCGATCAGTTTACAAATAAACAAATTGTTTCCCAGCGGAAAATACTTTGTGAGTATTTCCATTAGCGTGAGTGGCATTGTCACTGTGCACAATAGAAGGTCGGCCACCGCTAAATTCACTATAAACATATTCCTGGGAGTTCGCATCGCTGGCTTGCGTACGACTGATATTATCTGAAAAAAAAATATAATATTGAGAAGAAATATTTTTTTTAAGTTTACTTGTCGCCATTTCACTAACGATCTTAGAATTACTTCATTACACCAGGTTTTATAAAAAAATTTAGTCAAAGTCGAAAAACGCATATTTTTGAAAATTTTGCAAAAAAATTTATTCCTTTTCTTTAAAATCTTTTTCGATTTTTATTCGACTTTTAATATTAAAGATTCTTTGTTTCCCTAGTAGGTTTGTTTGTACACTAGTTTGTTAATTTTATTTTGTTAAATATTAACATAATTAGAGTTTGTAATTATTTTAACAAAGGAAAATATTTACTGAAAGTTTTGTAAAGGTAATATGCAATTTTAACAAAATATTTGGTTGAAAAAGTACACGTGATTTTAGACGGTCAATCAATACATTTCACACTTTATTCTAATTCGGAACGTGTTCGTAACAACTGTCCATAGTGTTTTTAATAAATTACCAGAAATCTGTTATTATTGTTATCTGGATTCCTTAAACCTACACGGAGAGAAAAGTATAATGCTGATAACCTTAATTATAATACCCTTTACTATAATTTATATTACTATTTGGGACAACTATCTTGTATATTGTATTTAGTAATTTTTAAATATCCATGTAGGTTAAACCTTAAGGTAAAATATTATTATTCTTAACCAATTTTGTTTTTAATTCTTTTTATAATTAGTTTTTTCCATTACTAATAAGTATAGTAAATTTTAAAATATTATGTTGCCATTTTAAATATAAAATATTTTAAAATCGAATATTTTTATATGTTAACAATTAAAAATTGTATCATATTTATTGTACTTTATAATATACAAAAATATTATGAGAAAGAATTGAACCTACACCTCGCCAAAGTTTTTTATTTTGAGTGCGTTCCATCAACTTCAAATACCGACAGACCTATATTGGGTATTATCAGTGTCGACACGACACTGTTGAGCAACTTGTAGTAGTGGAACACACCTAAAACAAAGAAATACCTGAGCTTATATAACATGGTTGGTAAGCCAACAGAGGCGAGATATAAGAACATCACGTGATCCACACCGTCTAACGACGCGTCGCGACGTGGCCTTTGCCGCAATCGGTACATACTATGCAACCAAGTAGGTTCAATTCTTTCTTATAAGTATTACCAGTAATGGGTCAAGAAAGTTTATTAAAGAAACTAAGAAAATTGAATGTTTAAAATGTCATGAGTTACTATATTGTATATTATATTTAAATATATTGTTTATTTACCTTAAACATAAAAGTATCTTTATTTTTACTATATTTTTTATTAATGTGTAATATATTATAATATTAGATGTACACCTTACATTTGATTAAATCATATAGTAAATGTATGTTATTTTTGTGTTTATTTATATGTTATTTTTTTTGTTTATGACATTGATTAATAAAGCAATATTTATTATCAAAATTCTTTTAATTTAAGTTCCCAATTTTCAACAAATACTTTTGCTACTGGGTCTACAAAAAGTTTGTAATAAGGTACTTTAAAAATTACAAGAATTATGGTTGAATTATTGACATATAATTACAAACTGCTTACTTAATTAGTTAACAGATTACAATTGGTTGTAAACTTAACATAAACTTATATGGATCTAGATTAATATAATGCTGGTTAATATTTGGTTAAAATTAACAAATATTTTTTTTACGGTGTATAATTACTTCATTACCCTAGGTTTTCGAGAAATTCTTACCCATAGTCAAAAAACGCATATTTTTTAAGATGCAAATATTTTTTCCTCTAAACTCACTTTCAAAGTGAGAGGTTTTTTGTTTCCCTAGTAGGTATGTTTGTATGCGCGAATTTTTATCAGAAATTACTCAATTTTATGCTTATGGTAAATACAGGGTGCACCAAGTATCATTTTATGTATTTATTTGAAGAGCTACAAGCTACAAGTCTATTAAAATACCATTTAAAAATTGGGAAAGTCAGAGGTTAGCAAATAATTAAAAAAAACGGAAAATCTGTCAAAACCAAAAATTGTTATAAATTTTATTTAAGTCATTTATTAAGCATAAAAAAGTAAGGAAAAAAAGCGACCTGCGGCACCCTGACTTGGTGATTCATAATTATTGATTAATTAATTAAATTAAATAATAAGGATTGATCCCGGTGCCTTCGCCATTTTTGCAAAAAAAGTATTTACTCAACACAGACCTACTGTGTTACTCAAATATTTTTATGCTTTCGCTAATCTCTTTAAGGCGCAGGAGTAACAAGTAATTCAGATGCCCAATATGTACAGGGTGATCCCTTATAATGTCGCCCCCTTTAACTTTTTTATTTTAAGTGTCCCAAAAAATTGAAACCAACGATTTTTTAGAAAAAATAATCTAATATTGGAAAAATTTAAAAAGGATTTTAAATAGAGTGAGTAAGATATGTGAATAACATTACGAGTTCTGTAAAAATAAAAACTTTCGTGATGCTACGCGTTTAATAACTTTTGGGTTTACATTTCACAAAAACTTGATTTTGTAGACCCCTGTAATTTTTAATGAATTATAATTATAGTATTTGTTATATAATTTTGAATAATATAAATAATACTTTTTCTTACGGTTTTTACTGCTTTTTATCGTTTTGGTATGTGCATATTTTACATAAAATACAAATTCAATTTCAAAATTTAATAGTAAATTTCCATTATTTATAGATGTAATTGAGATAAAATTTTCGAAAGATAAATGTTCTAAATTGATATATTTTATGAACCATCCAAAAATTATTTTTGGAGTGTTATCGTAAGCGCTGTCAGTTTATTTGCAAAAACTCGATTTAAAAGCATTTTTATCTAAACAGCTGCTGTTTAATCCAACCATTGTATATCCATATAATCTACTATAATAAATTAAACGTCCCTTGACGAAAATTTATTTTTCACAACTAGAGTTTATCACATAAAAACGTTAAATACTAACCTCGACCCATTATCATTTTAAGAAGTTTTTATTAAAAATACCTGCCTAGATTAACTGTTAATATTTCATAGTTGATTTGTTTGGGGTTTGCAATATAAATTTAAACTTAACATCAAAGGGAATAGTGATCACAATGATCAAAGACGTTGGTATCAAATACTTACTTGAAATTGCTAAGTCCAATTTTATGTTTCCCAAACAGACTAAGACATGAACGAATTTACAATTATCGAATCGATTGGAATTTTGGTTTATTGACTAATGACTAACGTTAATTTAATTAAGTGGCGGTTTGTCCTAAGATTTTAAGCTTGGTTAAAATCTATAAGGAAAAGCCAGAAGATAAATTATACTGCCTATTCATCAAGTAACTAAAATCTTATATTCTTTATAAAGTAATAAATAAGCCTAACCCAACAATAAATTAAAGTCAACATAGGTATAACAAAAATAATAGAACCTAACAAAAAACCTTTATTAAATAAACAGCTTCAGAAACCCCGTAACAAAAACATTAGGGGGAAGAATAATGGCATTCCAGGATAACGTAACTCGCCTTAAGCATTTTACGAAGAATTTTTAAATCTTTGTTTATTAAATGTAAGAGGGTAAATACAATGAAAGTTTTTTTACTTTGGTAATTTGGATCCTTAAAACGTTTGTTGCATGTTGTTTACCGCAATCAGCTTCATTATACTTCATTATACATCATACTTAAAAAAGTATTTCTAGTTTAAATGAGAAGAAAACAAAAATTGCGCCTTTAAAGTACAAATTAAATATTCTGATAAATTACATTAAATAATTATAAAAGACCAAAAATTTAAATTAATTTGAACTTTAAATCTTAAAAATTGTTTTGTTTTGTTATCATTTTAAAAATCGTACCACGACAAATTAAAAGATACAAGTTTATAAAAGCCATTTAAACTTGTATTTTCACAAGCTTATATACAGTATCCTTCTCAGTGGCGGCTCGTCGTATAAAGCAACTGAAGCTGGGCCTGACATGTTAAAATTATAATATAATTTGAAATGTTGAATACATTACTTATTTAAATATAAAACGTTTTTAAACTAATTTCCAGTCATTAAAAGTATCAAAACATCGAATAACCATCAAAGTTTAAAATATTTCCTTTAAATTTAGCGTGCACCTCTTCCAACTTTAATTCTTGTCCGACCGCATAATAGGGAAATAGTAATCACAGAAATTTGCGCTTCATATAGTCACACATTGCCGATACAACATCATGCTCCCCACCGCTGCACGGTGCCGCCGGCACCCCCTCAAGGCGGGGATAATACGCGAATTTTTGTAGACATCGAGGCCCACAAAGTTGGGCTTGTACCACAGTATATGGAAGACAGCAGAGTCAGTCCCGAGATCTGTGCGGCTCGCTTATCAGCCGTTGTAAAAGACTGGGCGGGGCGTGGAATGTTTTAGTAAACAAAGCTTATTAATTAGATCTATGCGTGTTTATAGTTTCTTATTTTTGTTTAGTCTTTGCCTTAGCGTTAAAATGGAAAGTTGTGATAAATATGCAAGCGTAAAATACATTATTGGGTTGCGAATTCTTGTAAAAATAATTCAAATAATTATAAAAGATCAATTTCATTTTAATATACTGTAACACCACAGTAAAAATCACAAAAAATATAAATAAAAATATTCATGTTTTTTTTATAGTTCAGTGTTAAATCGTTGAGTTTCATATACCTACTGTGCTTGTACATTATTATTTTGTTGTTGTGCGGTTGTGCCTTTATCAATCTAAAAATAATTATTGTAAGATAGGTAAAAATGAGCAGTACCTCCTGGGTAATGTGGAAACCTGCTGAAGGAATAAATAAAAATCCCACCTTGTCCCGCACTTTTTGTATTATTTTAGCTAAATTTTGAAAATTCTTCTCGTAAAAGAACATATTTTTAAATAATATATTTTTATTATTTAGATTCTGAAGTGCTCCAAAAACGCGAGACGTTGAAAATTTCAAAAAAAATTGCCTGCTGCGCCATATAGTAATA